GAGGCAAGGCCTCCCATGTTGAGTGGAGATTCTTGGATTAATCTCTCACGTTCGTGGGTGGGAAGTTTAGGTTCCCGCTTGTCACTCCGTAGCGGCATAGGCAGTCGCATTTCTCCAGCCTGGAGGCGGGTGGAGATGTTCGGGCGGTGGAAATCGTCAAGGTTTACAATTCGACCCCCGCCCCGCTCTCGACCCTCAAAGTTTGCGTTCTATCCAAGTTGTTGAATCCAGATTTCTCCTGGAATCCAGTTTTGTCAAGGCCAAAAGGGGCTGCGCGAGGGGTGGGCACTTGGATGACCTCAACAGTTATAAGTGGAATACAAGCTTTAACCCGCATGAAACAATGGACTCGTGACCTAGCTTACGCCACCGGCTGTTGGGGCTATCCATGAACATGTCGGTGGTGTTGTCTGCGACATCTGCAAATCAAAAAGTTGTCCTAAATGTTGTTGGCCCTCCTATCCTAGGTTCCCTCCTAACGTACCAGGGATACTTGCAGTGCTTATCCCACGAAGCGGCCCCGCGCTAGTTGTCCATGCACTGGCTCGCCGCGGTGGGTAAGTCTGGTTTGCTTTGTCCAGGGGCCATCAAGGCGGGGCACGGCTGAAGTTTACAAAAATAAAGGGCCGCCTCAGCTTAACGGGGATTGGAGACAAATCCTGCTTGGCAGCGGTGTCACTAAGCATCGCCGCAGCTTCGCCCGAAGCCTGCGGTGCAGTTTACCAGGTAGTGGTGACGTGGCAGCGCATGATGTCAGCTTGCAAGGCCCCTGGCATCATCGTTCGGTGGACCTCTTCGCTGCTTTTACGCGGCGGTTCAGGAGTTTGCCTGGGCCCGCCCAGCGCAACTTGGTGACGTCCTTTCCGACATCGAATGCACTCCGATCCTTCCCTTATTTCAATGAACTCATCCTGACGGCCTTGGGGCAACTTTCCTTGCTCCAGAACAAATATGATGACTGTCGTGCGGTTGCCCCGCTTGCGGGGCTCCATCCAGGCGCGCGGTGGAAAATGAGGGATGCTCGATATTTTCTTTCCTCAGGCTTCGGGTTGGGGCCAATCATGCCGACGGCGACTGCTGATTCAACCTCCCGTTTGCAAGCGTCATTGCCCCGATCGAGACCGACCGTAATCTTCCCAACCCCCGTGCGCGACAGCCACTTTGCCGCCCCCGCTAGTTTTGCTGACACTGCTACTGTTTCTTTTGTGGATGACCTGCAGGCCTGCGCTCAGGCTCCCAAGTGTGGATGTGTTCGAGCAGGCGGCTACGAGACTTTTCGCGGTTTTCTTCAGCGCGGCAGCCAAGAAGGTTCTGTGCCTCAACCCTGACAATTTTTTCCTCCTGATTCCCCACGGCCACGGGGCCTACATTTGGGCCCAATTTTCTTCTCGGCCACGAAGCTTGTTGTCCAGGCTTCCCAGTGGGGCGTTCGATTCGCGGTTGTCAGACGAAACAAATCCCTCGGCACTATCATCCAGGACAACGGATCGATGGGCCATGGGGCTGCAGCGCGGGCCGCGTCCATGGCCGCGTCCGGGACGTTGATTATGTTGCGCGGCTCTATGCCTTCTCACATAAGCAGAAATCCAAGGGGGCCTCTTTGACGAGACGCCCAGCAGAGGAGCCGACCTGTCAAGGAAGCGCCGAGCGCGAGGAAGGACGCGTCAGCGCTGCCAAGCGCCGGCTCCAGCAGAGACGAGAAGACAAGGCGCTCCTCGCCCCCTTAAGTCCCGCGCGCGCGCTGCGCGCGTGGCCCGGAGCTTCGGGGCCGAGGTGCCCTCGAGGTCCAGTTTGTTCGGGCGGGAGAAACCACGCCGACACAATGCATTGTCGATTCCAAGGAGAATATGGGAAGATGTGGGAAGTGGGGGGGAAGGCGACAACTCGAAGAATATGGGACAATATGGGGAATCCTGTGATTTGTGTGCATGTATTTGTGTGTCCTTGGGCCCCTTCAATCTTGCACGCAAGCGCCAGTCCGCCCTGGGTCCCGTTGCTTGGGCTGGCGGAGCTTCGCGCCGCTTCTGTCCGAGGGGTGGTCGCGCGTTCTCCAGGTTCCATGGGCACCTTGCGAGGGGCCGCCAGCGTCGGCAGATTTTGATCACATGGGCGCGCCCCAGGACCCCCGAGCTTGCGCAGCAAGCTTGGGAGGTCACAGATCCCGGGCGCCGTGGAAGACGAGGAACTGGCCATCCTGAGCACCACCGTGGAGGCCCATGCCAAGAAACACCCTGCTTGCCTCTGCGGTGCCCCTTGGTTTCTTGGATTCCGGTGGTTTTGCGATGGAAAGCGTAACGTTCCCATGCCAAATCAATGGACTTCCTGGGGTTCCAGGGCTGGGTTTCTTGTGGAAGGTTTCTTGTGGTCGGGCCCCTACTGCATGTTCGCCCAGGATTGCGGGGCCAACGCGTCCTGCTCAAGGAGTGGGAGGAGATCGTTCGGGGGTGGACAGAACCCCCAACAGTGACACGTCGATTAGTGGAGTGTCCGTTTTCGGTTCTCGAGAGGGCGCCGTGGCCGCTATTTTCTAGGCTTGCGCCCGCTAGTGTTTGGCCTCAGGTCGTTTTCACTAAACCACGTTTTACTAAAGGGAGGTCTGTCCATCCCCGAATCGTGCTTCCGATCCTATGCCTCTACCTGGGGCTCCTACTATGCCCGCCCATGTCACGGGCATCTCCCGCCCTACTGGAAAGGGGGCCATGACTGTCCTGCGCCCCTCCTCGCGCACCAGGCGGTCGGGTGACCTTCAGGCCGCCTTCGAAGCGGCGCAGGCGAATCGCTGGTGCAGGATGGTGGCGGTCTCCTTGGACATTGCTGAAGGGCCCCGTTTGGGGGGGCCTCGGAAAGATGGAGCTCTCGGATTTCAGAGCCAGGTCTTCCGCCTTGGGCCCGACGTCCCCAAGCCCCCTTGGCCCCTGCGTTGCGCGGGTCAGTTCTGGGGCCTGCCAGCTTCCAAACCCAGAGAGGCTTGCCACGTTGCCACTGGAAACGCTTGCTTTGATGAGGGGTAGCGTCTCTTTCCCTGAACCACGCCGAGGCGCGCGAGGTCCCCGCTGCTATGGAACTCTCCGAGAAGCCTGCTGACCACCCGACGCCCCGTCGCGTTGGAACTTGCCCGGGTCACAACACTTTTTGTCGTTTCCAGAGGCCAGGCATTCTTCCGTTTTGATCAGTGCATGTGGGGGGGGGTATCATGAAATTGACCTGGCCTGCCACTGTCCATCTTCTGTCCCTCCAGGACGTTGTGAACGTTTACAGGAATGGTGGCACACGGTGGGGGGGCGCGCAAGATTCTGAGGGGCCGAACGGAAACCGGTGGCTGGTGCACTGCCCCCGCCGAGTGATACCCGCCGGGCATTTGCAATATTGTCGCCGCCTTGTTTCAGGAGGTTCTTCCTCCGTGGCCGAGGATGTGGGGCCCCCCGCTGCTTGCAGTTCGTTCTGAGGTTGAACATGTTCGGGTATCGTCTGATCTTTATCTGCCTCGAGGTGTGGAGGAGGATTACGCTGATAGGAATATGATCGAGGTCCCCCGTGCGGGGAACGGGAGAGCTCGAGTAACTGAAGTGTTGCCGCCCTTCGGGTTCGGGGCATCAGTACTCTTTTCCTTTGTCGTGGCGTTCCCACATGCACTGCTTGCTGGCGCGGCTTTGTTCGTGTTAATCCCCATTGCCTTTGCTTCTGATGTTGCTTCCCAGGGTAGGTATTCCATCGGAAAAAATGATGAGGAGGTGCAGGGGGGACGAGGACGAGGAGCAGGAGTCAGGAGGAAGAGGGGATGACAGGGAGATCGGCGAGGACGAAAACGCGACGGATGATGACGAGGACGAGGGACGAGGACAGGAGGGAAGAGGAGGGAGAGGAGAGGAGGAGGTGGAAAAGGAGAAGACGGATGAGGAGGAGGAGGAGGACGACGACGACAACAACGAAGCGGACTGGGGACGACGCGGACGGGGGACGACGCGGAGGAGGGACGACGCAGAGGAGGAGGAGGACGAGGAGGATGAGGGATGCAAGTGTAAACACTTGAGTCACTGACGATGTTGAAATAAGCCTTCGTAGGCCCCTACAAGGATTCATTTCCACTACTGGAAGTGCCCCGTTGGGAGGCAACCCATGGAAAATTCTGAAGCGTGCCGAAACACCACTCGTGGGACTTCCGCGCCACGAATCAACCTTGCTGTTGCGTCCTGACGGCCCTGAATCGTACCAAGACATCCCCCCGGCTATATGAACATTGCGAACTACCGTAATTCACGCGCCCTGACAAACCTAAATCGCTCTTAAACAATATTGTTGGTACGTTAACCATGGGAACGCGCGAAACTTGTGCAATTGTTTAAGACGGGTGTGTGCGCGGCGCTAATGCGAGAGCCACATTTTGGAAAACGAGCCTCCCTAAACCCGTGAATGTCTTACAAATGTTTAGGCGATAGCCACATTTTGAAAAGGGGCCGCCATCAATCCACGATTGTGATACACATGGCTGAAACGAATGTGCGTGGCGCTCAGGCTAGAGCGACATTTGAAAGCAACCCCCTCTCAATCCGTGAAGCTCTTGTAATATTTTAAGACGAGTACACGCGGCGCTAAGGCGAGAGCCACAGTTTGAAAACGGCACACCTTCAATCCGTGAAAGTCTTGTAATCTTTCTGACGAAAGTGCGCGGCGCCAAGGCGAGAGCCACGTTTTCAAAACCACCCGCCCTCCACAGGTGAAACTCTTGCAGCTTTCCAGCTTACGGCTCGTTAATGGTGAGGAGGTCTCAGGCGAAACGCCCAGCCCGCCCTTCCGACCGGCTTCGGGGTGCTACAACGAGGAGTTCATAAGGAGAAGGACTAGAGGAAGAAGCGGAGGAGGAAGAAGAAGACGACGCGGATGAGGGACCAGGAGCAGGAGGAAGAGGAAATTGGGGAATACGAGAAGGAGGAGGAGGAGGAGGAGGAGGAGGAGGAGGAGGAGGACGACGACGACGAGTGCGGCGCTCGGCCTCCTCCCAGCGCAAGGCGGCCAGGTCCAAGGCACGGCTGCGGAGGGAGGCGCCGCGGCCGCCGCCGCCGCCGCCGTCGCTTTCAGTCCCTCGCTCGGTGGTGCCACACGAGGCAGCGCCACACGGATACATAAAACAGCTCGTGGCTCACCGGCGGGCGGGCCCCGTCCCCGTCCGAGCCTCGGCGCGATCGCTCCGAGGCTCGGCGCCCCGCCTCCCCGACGCGCGCCCCGGCCGGGGCGAGGAGCGGCGCCCGCGGCCCACGAGAGGCCGCCGGGCGTCTCGGGCCCCCTCCGCGGCCCCTCCCCCCGGGGCTCTGGGCGCCGTTCCTGGCACTGCTCGGCTGTGTGCAGGTGGCTCCACGGCGAGGGCCATCGAGGGGGCAACTTGGGACCGCCTTTCGGAAAAACAGCTGGCGCCCGACGCCGACGGAGGTGCACGGGGAAGGGGCGTCCGAGCGATGGCAAGTGTTGGCGAGGGTCTGGGGTGGGCGTGGAGGGCGGCCCTGCCCCCCAGGACGTTCGGGATGAGCGCCGCCCGGACGTCAGGAGGGGAAAACCACACACACACACAGACACCATGAATCGTCGACTCCCAGGAAAATCTGGGAAAACATGGGAAGTGTGTGCGGGGGGAAGCCGAACATCCAGAAAAGATGGCAACAAACATGGGGAATCCTGAGATGTGTGCTTATTTTTACTTGCGTGTCCCTGGGGCCCCTCGGGAAAAGCTCCTCGGGCCGCAGACCCAGGGTCAGCTCTTCCCCGGAGGTCGCTGCTTGGTGGCCCCCGAGCTCCCTGTGAGGCCGCACCAGAGAGAGCTCGCGCGTCGTGCTCTCTGTTCGCGACGCCCGGATTTCTCAGGATGGGTGCGGACGACGACGACGGCGACGACGGCGACGACGACTCTGACGGTCACGACGGTGGCGGCGTGGAGTAGATGGGATGATTGCGGGGTCGTGTCGCACCGCCGTTGCATCGGCGATGGGGCGCGTTCTGGGGCCCCTATTCCTTGAATCTCAACATCGCCGACACGTCGCCAACACACTGGCGATGCTGTGCGATCCTCTGGCCGACCCGATCCGGTGCGGCCCCCCGCTTGGGCGGCGACGACCGGATAGTTATTGCGGTGCCCCTGGCCCTTGGGCCTCGCGTGATGGGGGGGGCGACCAAGGGGGTGGGCAGCGAGAACTGCCGAAAGGGAGCCCCTTCGGGCCTCTGCAGGGGCCCTGTCGGGCACAGAAGAGGACCTTTGGGGCCCGAGGAGGGCACGTTTCTCCCCCCCCATCCAGAGCCGCCCCATCCATCCGCGCGCCCCCCGCCCAAGCGATTCGTCGCGCCCGAGGCCCGAGGCGTCCCCTGGGATCTCCAGGGAGGCCCGGCGCGGCATCCCCCGGAGGGCTCCTGCGGGGGCCCCGCCGCGGAGGCCCCCCGCCAGAGGGTCCCCTGCATTGAAGGCCTCCCGGATGGGGTCGCCGAGCAGGTGGGGCTGGAGAACGACGAGCGCCTGCAACACCATTGATCTGCATCCTGCCCTTTGCCCAGCTCGTCTGCCCAGGCCTTCTGACCTGGGGGGCCACCTTCCTACAGTCAACCCGCACAGTAAGGATGAGCTACTCTCCAAGGCTACCCTTGCACCCTTGCCCTTCGGCCCATCCTCGGCCGCTTTCGCTCGCCGCGCCCCGCCCGCGAGGTGTCGACGTGGCCTTCAAGGCCGCTGCATCCTTGTCGTGCGTCCTTATTAGACGGGCTGACTGCACCCCATTCTGTGGGGGGCCTCCAGGAGCTGCCTCTCCCCAACCCTGAGGCGCGCCGCGGGCCCTGGCCCGGCTCGCCTGGCCAGGCCTGCTGACCTGGGGGGAGGCGGCCGTCTCTGGGTTCAGACACCACCTTCCTCCTCCTCCTCCTCCTCCTCCTCCTCCTCCTCCTGCTCCTCCTGCTCCTCCTCCTCCTCCTCCTCCTCCTCCTCCTGCTCCTCCTCCTGCTCCTCCTCCTCCTCCTCCTCCTCCTCCTCCTCCCTCCTCCTACTCCTGAGATCCGACGTTGCAAATAAAAGTCACAACGCCGCAACAACAAAAATCACGACCAGACCCCCAGACCCCAACTTTCGGCGCCCCTTCCTCCAGCTGCATCGACCTGTGAGGGCCCCGGGGCCCGAAGTCGAGCGAGAATGCCTGGCTCGAGGAACTCTCGTCCTCGGGATCTCGGGACGTGGGGCGGCCGCCCCTGCGTTCGGACACCACCTGCCTGCCTGCCTGCCCCGGCGCGTGGGGACGGGGGGCTCCGGGAGCTGCCTAGTCGGCCTGGATTAGTAGGTCGACCCCGCCAAATCAAGGGTACCCTTGCGTTCTGTGCGCAAGGCCTCCGGGTGGTAAGTAAGGGGAGTGACCTAGCTGGGGTTTGAAGGAAGGGGCCCTAAAGGATCCCTTTAGGCACCCATTTGGACCCCTGAAGGGCCCCTTTGCTGTCCCTTCCCCAGAGATCAGATGTCGTGATTTTTACATTGCGGGGTCCCCGGAAGTCTCGACCCATTCCCCAGGGTCGGGTTTTCATCCTGAGTCGTTTTTGGAGAGTCCCGGGGCCTGGCGAGGGCCCCTAGAGGCAGGAGACTAGGAAAAACCTCAGTCCAGATTTTTTGAATGCGTTGGATCTCTGGGCCTCCACCCCCCAGATGGGCCCCCCCCCCTCGCCACCCGCCCGACCGACGCCCCGTCCCACGGCGCCCCGCCCGGCCCCAGGCCGAGCAGTCCCGCCGGCTCGCGGCGGGCTCGGCGGGCCGGCGCGCCCGCCCCGCGGCGGTGGGGGGGGGGCGGGGCGGCCGCGCGGGGCCCCGCCCCGCTCCGCCGCGCGCGCGAGGGGATCAGGGGGAGGGGATCCGGGGGAGGGGATCCGGGGCAACGACTCGGAGGAGGAAGAAAATACCCAGGCCTCTGCCCTCTGCTCGCTTTCCCCTCTGCGGGCCTCCTCGGAGGCCACCGTCGCCACCGTTGGCTTCGCATCGAAGTTCTGGCCAGAACGCACCCCAGGAGAGGTCCGGGGAGTAGGGGTGTCGGCACCTTTTGGCTTCCCCAGGTGGGGCAGGGGATCAGGGGCCACGACAGGGGGGGATGGTCTGGGCCTCCCAGATGGGGTTGGAGCAAATGGGGTCGGAGGATCGCGCCGCATCGCCGATGCATCGCCGATGCGGCTCGATATGGAGCCCGATTTGCTTCACGTCGACGCCGCCGATGCATTGCCCACGTCGACGATGCATCGCCGGTGCATCGCCCATGCATCGCCGGTACATCGCCGATGCATCACCGATGTATCGGCGATGCGGCGCGATCCTCCAACCCCATCTACTCCGACCCCATCTAGGAGGCCTCGAGATAGGCACACGCCCCTCCCTCCCCACATCCCTACCTCCACACATCAGGGGCAACGATAGGGGGGTGGATTTCAGGGGCAACGATGGGAGCGAACAGGGCCACGAACCTTCGAGGTTTGAGGTTTTCGGGCGTCTTCGCAGGGTCTCGGCGGCTTTTCGCTCTCCAGCAGCTGCGCCTCGCCGAGAAAGTTCCGGGGGTGCCAAAATCGCCCCAAGCAGCCGCCAGGGAGCCGAGTTTAGACCCGAAAATCAAGGGGCATTGTTAGGGGGGGTGCCCAATTGCCCATTGATCGCCGATAGAGGCCCGATAGCCCCAGCCTGCCCAGGAACGTGCGGATTCACTATCGGGGGCCTATAGCCGATCTATCGGCGATACATCGCCGATTCCAGGTCGATGTTCTCCCCCTTTGCCAGCCCCCCCCCTATCGTTGCCCCTCAGGGGACGGGGGGCTGCTTAGATCAGTTCGACTTAACATAAGAGTGACCCTTCGCCAGAGCTACCTTTGGAGTGCCCACTAGGGTCCCCCGATCGCCGAAGGCAAGGCGGCAGTGGCGTCTTGCGCGCGCGTGTCTGGCCCCCCCACGGCCCCCAAAAAGACGCGCACAAAAGGTCACTCTTACCCAGGATCACTCTTGCGTGTAGCCGATCAGTACGCTCGAAAAGGGTACGGAAAGACTGGGTACAAAGACAACATTTCCGGATCATTATGAGCAGGACTCGTGGTCTCTGTCGCAGCGGGCGTTGTCCATTCGAGACAGAAGGCCGCTTGCCCAACAGCGGCCGCTGTCGTTTTGGGACAGCATTTGTTGTTGGGTACCCGTTTTCTCCGTACCCAATTCGGGCGTCCAAGTTAGAAGCAGCCTTGTTCTCAGAAGGCGCGGGCTGGTTCCTTCTAAGAAGCAGCCTCCTTCTAAGAAGCCACCCCCCCTCCCACCCACCCCCCTGTGTTCGACGCCAGTCCGCGGCTGCTGCGGTGCCTCACTCCGCCAAAACGAAAGACGGCACACGTAAACATCAGACCGTCCATCGCGGAAACTTCCGCTCGCCTGGGATGGAACGCGCATCGGTGAGCGGCGCCCAAGAGCACCCAGCAGCGCCACACAACGCCCAGTAGCGCCGAATAGCGCCCGTGTAGCGCCCAACAGAACCCAACAGGGACCGACAGCGGCCAATAGGGCCATATCATGTGAGGGAGCTGCATCGCGTCCACTTTAAGCGCGATTGGGCGCACCAGTGGGCGCCGCGGGGGCGACCAACAGTTTCCGTGAGTTGTCTCCTCCGGCGCCGCCCCTGGCGCGCTCCGCGCGCCAGGGAGGGGGGCCCAGCGCCGATCCAAGCGATGTGCGCGGACCTCCGAGACGTTATGCCGTTTTTTTGTTTCCGTCGCGCCGCACTAAGATTTACGACGGACGTCATTGTTTTATCTGCGGGCTCTGGGGGTTCTCGCCGAGCCCCAGAACCCGCAAATGATTCCAGCAAGGTTCCATGATAGCAGCCAAGAGGTCGAGGAGTAGGAGGTCGAGATACGGTTCAGTCGGGCCTGGCTCTCTACAGAAGGACACTTCAAAAGTAGCAAGAACTAGTATAAGGAATATGTTTTATATTATGTTTGACTATTCCGTTTTTTGTTTGTTTGTATTTTTACCTAACAGCGAAGACTGATAGATTTCTAGTGGGCTCAAAAGAGAGCATCTTGACTCCCCAGGGGGGTCTGGCCGGGTGCCGGGAGAAGCCGGGGACTCCCCAGGACTCACATAGATTCTTATAGTTTCCTATGGATTCCTATTCTTCGTGTTCCCAGAACACCATTCCCAGGCCACATTTTGAATGCCCGGAGCCAAGTGTAGGCCACTTCGTGTTCTTCGTGTTCCCAGAACACCATTCCCAGGCCACATTTTGAATGCCCGGAGCCAAGTGTAGGCCACTTCGTGTTCTTCGTGTTCCCAGAACACCCATTCCCAGGCCACATTTTGAATGCCTGGAGCCAACTGTAGGCCATTTCGTGTTCTTCGTGTTCCCAGAACACCATTCCCAGGCCACATTTTGAATGCCCGGAGCCAAGTGTAGGCCACTTCGTGTTCTTCGTGTTCCCAGAACACCATTCCCAGGCCACATTTTGAATGCCCGGAGCCAAGTGTAGGCCACTTCGTGTTCTTCGTGTTCCCAGAACACCCATTCCCAGGCCACATTTTGAATGCCTGGAGCCAACTGTAGGCCATTTCGTGTTCTTCGTGTTCCCAGAACACCATTCCCAGGCCACATTTTGAATGCCCGGAGCCAACTGTAGGCCACTTCGTGTTCTTCGTGTTCCCAGAACACGATTCCTGTATCATACTTTTGATTGCCCGGAGCCAATTGTGAGGCTGAGGCTGAGGCAGGTTGAGGCTGAGGTAGGTTGAGACTGAGGCTGAGGCAGGCTGAGGCTGAGGCTGAGGCTGAGGCAAGCCGAGGCAGGCTGAGGCTTAGGCTGAAGCTGCGGCAGGCTGAGGCTGAGGCTGTGGCTGTGGCTGGTGCTGAGGCAAGCTGCGGCTGAGACAGGCTGAGGCTGAGGCTGATGCAGGCTGAGGCTGAGGCAGGCTGAGGCTGAGGCAAGCCGAGGCAGGCTGAGGCTGAAGCTGAGGCAGGCTGAGGCTGAGGCTGTGGCTGAGGCTGAGGCAAGCTGCGGCTGAGGCAGGCTGAGGCTGAGGCAGGCTGAGGCTGAAGCTGAGGCAGGCTGAGGCTGAGGCTGTGGCTGAGGCTGAGGCGAGCTGCGGCTGAGGCAGGCTGAGGCTGAGGCTGATGCAGGCTGAGGCTGAGACAGGCTGAGGCTGAGGCTAGAGCAGACTGAGGCTGAGGCTGAGGCCGAGGCAGGCTGAGGCCGAGGCAAGCCGAGGCAGGCTGAGGCTGCGACTGCGAGAACAGCAGAATTCTACAACTGGATTCGCACCTGAAAGTTAAGGGGAATGCTTCCAGATACGCTTATACACATCGCTGTTAGGTTGCTTTGCCGGGATATTTTATTGTTCGTTCAAAATCCACCTGCAGGAGGACATGCCCGACCTAACGATACGGCCATGTGCACCTTTCGTGTACTCTTTGCCAGGGGCCGCGGCCGTCCGGGCCACCGAATTGTAGCGGGCACGGGCGCGGGCACGCTTCCTGAACAGATTGTGAGGCCGTCTCGGGCGAAGCGGCTGCCGGACTGGGCGTCCTCGGGCTCCACGTCGCCGTCTCCCCGCGGGGGACTCGCCCGCGGCCCGTCCTCGCCAGCACTGGGGCCCTCCAGCCACGCGCGATTAGGAGGCAAGCAACTGCATGGACAGATGCGTCGGATGTCTGCGCGGATTTCTTGGGTCGGCGCTGGGCCCCCCGGCGGCGCCTCTGGGGCGGCGCGCTCCACGCGACACCGACGGGGGTCCAGCGCCGATTCAAGACATCCGCGCGGACCTCACATAAATCATGTTTATGTCGCGTATTGTTCTTCTGTACCTGGGTCGAGGCCTTTGGGGGGCCCGCGCTGCGAAAAGTTCCTGACGCCAGGGGGTCGGGATCAGTCCCGATGCAGTCACATGGGGTCATTTGGGGATCGCTTCTCCTCGTCCTCCTCCTCCGAGGGTATCTTAGGGAGCGGAGTCGTAAGGGGGTATCTGCATGTGGCCTTTCACCATCAGTCGCGCCACCCGTTATCTAAAGCATTCGCGCACTCTATCTGGGTTCAACAGATGCTCTTTCTAATGGCCTTCGGCCCATGCCGCCACCTTGCCTGGGTGGCGGGCCATAGGCCTCGTTCGTTGGGATGTCGCGCCTCTTGGGACGGCTTGGGGCCACCTTTGGGGCTTCTTTGGTCGTCTTGGACACTGTGAAAGCCCCAAAGTGGTGAAACTAACGCTTTCCTACGGGATTGGAGCGATCTCTGCTCCTTCGGGCCCTCTTGGGGGCTTCCCTTGGAGCTCCGTTGCGGCGGTTCGGAGGCCTCTTGGGCGGTCTTGAGGCCATATTGGGCATCTTGGAAAGCTTTTGGGCCGTCTCGGAGGCTTCTTTGACCCTGCTGGGGGCTACTTGGGCGGGGTCTCCATCCCAAAGGTCCATGCGACACACCCTGGTAGCGCCCAGGAGCGCCAGGGAAAGAGGGTTCTGGGCCCTGAAGATCCTTGCCAACCCTTTACCTCTCAGGGTTGCATGAGCCTTGGGGCATTCCAGTCCGTGCTGAAGGTACGATAGCGGATCCTCAGTTGCGCTGCCAACATTTGTTCATGATTGCTTCCCTCAATGTTCATGCATTGAGGCAATGATTTGCTATGCTAACGACTCCGTGCCTACGTCCTCGTATGCGAATGTTGCAGCCTGTAGCCTCCCGAACAGGTACATTTTGCCACGTGGCCCCATGAGAATTCCGAGGACTGGCGTCAGGG